GGGGGGGAGAAGGCTCACAGCCACCAGTACCCTAGGCTGCTCCACCTATGCCTCAGCCTGCCAGGTTAGCAGGGTCCAGAGCAGGGGAGCTACTCCCTTCCCCCAGTGGTAGGACAGTGAGGAGAGCACCTGGGTGCAGGGAGGGGACCTCAGCTGGGATCCTCCTGCTGTGGGCCCTGGCAGGGGCCGGTGCAGTAGTACCAGGGCACAGTTGCTTCGGTGTCTCGGGGAAGTTTGCAACTGACCCAAGGAGGAAACCCGAGAGGGGAAAGGCCGGGAGGCATGAATTGCCAGCACTGTAGCCACTTGAAAACAGCTCCACTTGGAATGTGAGATGGTTGTATGTTCAGCTGAGAAGTGAGGGGGCTGAACTCCACCGCTGGGCTCCTGTCAGTCTAAGACCCAAGCGCCCACCACGACAAGGGGAGAACAGAGCGAGGGGCCCGGAGGAAGGGAGGACAATTGAAGAAAACCATGTCTAGACTTTCCCCAGCCCTCTCCTTCTTTCTGCTGCCTACAAGAGCCCCAGGCTCGGCCACAGTTCTGTGTCCACCTTTTAGTCCCCTATTCTCCAACCAGAGGAAAGAAATAAGGAAGGAGTCTGTGCTGCCTTCAGAAAGTATCTATATACCTGATTGGCCAGTTGCCTTCCACAGAGGGAGGCCAGACTGTGGCTTAGGCCCGCTCCCCACAGGGACATCAGTAGGACATCCTGGAGGGCTCCCAGACTGTTAGAGGGGCCAGGCTGGGCCGAGGGATGCCCCCGAGTGCACAAATTTTTGTGCACCAGGCCTCTAGTATATAATAAAAGCCTAGGTGGCAGTGTGTGATGTCATCACAAGATGGCTGCCACAAGATGGCCAGCAGGGGAGGGCAGTTGGGGGCCATCAGGCCGGCAGGCAGAAGCAGTTAGCGACAATTAGGCAGGTAGTCAGGAGAGTGGTTAGGAGCCAGGAGTCCCGGATTGTGAGAGGGATGTCCAAAGGGATTGGGCCTAAACTGGCAGTGGAAATCCCCCAAGGGGTCCCAGATTGGAGAGGGTGCAGGCCGGGCTGAGGAACCCTCCCCCCCTTGCACAAATTTCGTGCACCAGACCTCTAGTAATTTAATAATTCCACACTATACTTTGAATTGTAGAGAAAAAGCTGGGAATACACACCTACTGCCTGTCCATTCCCTTGCTTTGTGTCCCTGGGGCTGGCCTGTGCATGTTTGTGATGTCACAGTCAGGCACCAGACCACCCGGTCCCTGGTCCAGTCTGGTCCCTGGTCTGTTCCCCTTAATACTGAGGCTGCCAACTGGATATTTAATGGACATGATGCTGGGGGCAGGGGCGGGGGGGGGGCAGGGAGGGGGCTTTGCAAATTTCTCCACCCTGCTGCGTTAGGCAAGTATCCCCTCTCTTTCTGCAAATTTTAGAAACTGGAACCTCGG